CCGCCAGACGTTCCCAACAGACCCTCACGATACGTTTGGGTCTGCCAGGTCTGTCCAGCTTTGCCCCTCGTAAGCGGAGCCAACTAACCACCAGGTGGTGATCAGTTGACAGCTCAGCCCATCTCTTCACCCGAGTGTCCAATACATACCCCCTTATGCTTGAACATGGTGTTTGTTATGGACAATCTGTGACTAGCACAGTAGTCCAATAACAAAACACCACTCAGATTTAGATCGGGGAGGCCGTTCTTCCCGATCACGCTCCCCAGGAGGAGCACAGGAGACAGGTATCCGGGTATTCTACACTGCTATTCGGCCCGTAGGCAGAAACAACAGTGAGACACCTATCCCTGACCCGAAGGCGCAGGGAAGCGACCCTCTCGCCCAGTGGGGAGAACTCCAACACACGACCGGCATAGCTGGGGAGCTATAAGCAAGCCTACGCCAGCACGTCAATCTGGGGCGATGTGAACTTCTTTGGTGTTGTGGTTTTCTTCATGGGGGGAGGGTGGGGCCTTGTTAGACCCTACCAGGGGCATTAAGCCCCCGACAACATAGCTCATTTTATATATTTATATATTTTATATATTAAAGCTGGATTTTATTTTGTGAGGAAGTGAGGAAACAATGCCCAGCATACAACAAAGAAAACTAAGAGAACCCCGATCTTTCCTCCAACAAGCAAAAGAAAACAAAATACAGGGTTTTTAACCTAAACTGACTATCAAGAACAAGAGAAAATGTTTTAAACAAAAACAAGGGCTTGTCCCAAATCTATTTTCCTCCTAATTACAAACAATCAAAGGTTACATAAGATAAACAATACAGAGCACATGGCAAGGTGTCAGCAGGCCTTAGCTCAAGGATGATGAAGGGAAAAAGGGAAGAGGGCCGGTGCCAATCAGTTTAAATTGACGTCATCGACCAATCCACTCTAACCCAAATCCACATACACAGGAGACAAAAAACACATAAAACACATTTACACAATACATGTCCTCAGACAAGGGTCATTACACACATCATAAACAGACTGATGAGAAACTTAAACTGATGAGGTTCAATAAATAAAATAAACCTAATGTAATTGTAATTGATGGAGGATAAGATGCTAGAAAACCAAAAAAGGTGTTCACGATGTGATAAAATAAATAAATAAAAAACTCTGGTATTATTTGCAATATTCTCATTCTTAACTTTTACTGTGAATTTGACAGCCCACTTGAAAAGTTAGATTGGTCTGGGTCCTTTTCAGAGAAGTTAGTGTAGTGATATAAGATTGATGATTGTTTTTGGTAGTTTGTATTAGTAATAGGCAGAGGTGGGACCAAGTCATTGCTTTGCAAGTCACAAGTAAGTCTCAAGTCTTTGCACTCAAGTTTCAAGTCAAGACAGACAAAGTCCGAGTCGAGTACAAGTCAAGACTGAAAAGTGTCAAATCAAGTCCGAAGTCTTGCCGTTTCTGTTTCCGAGTCCTTTCTAGTCCTTTTAAACAAAATAATAATATATTTACACAGATCATTTTTGGTTTTGGAGAAAGCATCAACTCTTGTCAAGTCATAGGGCTCGAGTCCAACTGAAGTCACGAGTCATTGATGTTAAAGTCCAAGTCGAGTTGCAAGTCTCTTTACATTTTGTCAAGTCGAGTCTAAAGTCATCAAATTGATGACTCGAGCCTGACTCGAGTCCAAGTCATGCGACTCGAGTCCACACCTCTGGTAATAGGTATACCCATTGTATTTTGAATAATCTACAATGTATGAAAATGTAATTTCTTAATCAGGCACTGCCAGTATTTGAAAATAATTTGGACTTGAAATGAGTAGGAACTTATCCAATTGTTTTTTGGGTTTTTCATGGTATAGAAAATGTGAAAAACATGATGACCCATTGTGTTTAAACTGATAGAGTATTAAAACATATTAACATCTCTTGCTACATTAGACTTTATTATTATTATTATTACTATTATTATCATGTGTGAGGATGCATATAAACTCTGCTTTCTCCTCAGAACAGGACACATATAAAAGCTTAAAGGAGAGACTAGAGCATCATCGTGTCAAGGTGTTGATTGCCACATGTGTCATTATTGTGACCGTTCTCATCCTTAGCATTGGACTTGGAGGTAAGAAGCTACTGTATGTATTGTGTGACTTTTTTGTGAATTATTTGTCATTCTGACACAGCACACCACTGCACGCACAATAAAATCTTACCTCCGCTTTTAACCCATCACCAAAGCGAGCAGGGGTACAGCTTAAGCTGTCCAGGGAGCAGTGTGTAGGGACGGTGCCATGCTCAGAGTACTTCTGGTAACTTGGCAGCTGGTGGTTTCGAACCTGAAACCTTCCAGGCCCAAGTCTGCTTCCTTAACCACGAAGCCACCACTCAATACAATTTCATATGATCGTTAAAGAGTGAAAATAAATTAAGATATGGTCAATAATAATACAATTAAGTGTTTTACTACTATTATAAATGGCAGAAAAGAAAAGGAAGAGAGAGAAGACAGAACAGAAGATCAAGTGGTGGAAATTAAGGAAAGAGACATGTTGTGAAGACTTCAGGAAGGAAGTAGGGGCAGTTCTGGGCTGTGTTGAGGAATCCCCAGATGATTGGGAGACTACAGCTGCAGTGATTAGGGAGACAGGTAGGAAGGTGCTAGGTATGTCCACTGGGCAGAGAAAGGAGACTCCAGTGTCCTGACCGGCCCTCTGTTATAAGGGTCTACTTGATCCCTAGTGACTCATCCTATGCCAAACAGGGGTTTCTCAAACACATGTATAATTCCCACAAAATCCTTCTCAAACACCAATCCAATCATGTAGGTATCACTGATATGACCCTAGCTTCCATCTGGGTGAGACAACGTGGACTTGAAGCAATTAATGACCTAAATATCTGGGATCAATAAACACAAATGTTTTTCTTTATACTGTGCCATCCAGATTTCACTAATCAAGCCTTTTTTATTTTGGGTTTGTTTTTATTTGATTATGTTGACAATGTGACTATGCTTTGTACAGTTAGAGATCAGCCAAAACCAATGGGCTAGCAGAGTGGTATTATTCCATGGTGTATGTTGGCCAAAGTATGGCATGAAACAGCTATTTTGGCTACAAATACGTGCTAATTTGGGTCATACATTTGAGCATTTTTTTATGTATGTGTGATTGCAGTGGGACTGAGCTGTGCACAAAGATTTCGTTGTGGCTCTTCCTCTCAGTGCATCAGATACTCAGCTCAGTGTGATGGAAAGGTGCACTGTGACAATGGAGAGGATGAGATTGGCTGTGGTGAGAAGCGTCCATTTTCATGTTTGCACCTCTCTGTTAGAGAGGTCAGCAATTGACCTCTCTTTGTATCAACCTCCTCAATGTAAAATATCCAGGATATTCACATTTATTTATTTAATTTGTGGAAATGTCATTGGTCCTTTTTTTTTTAATAGTGTATATTACATGCAATTTCCCAGCCTGGTATCTATGTATCTATGTATCTATCTATCTATCTACCTATCCATCCATCCATCCATGTATGTATGATTGTATGTATGTATGTATGTACAGTATGTATGTATGTATGCATGTATGTACTGTATGTACTGTATGTACTGTATGTATGTATGTACAGTATGTATGTATGTATGTCTGTCTGTCTGTCTATCTGTCTATCTATCTATCTATCTATCTACCTATCCATCCATCCATCCATCCATGTATGTATGATTGTATGTATGTATGTATGTGTGTATGTATGTCTGTCTGTCTGTCTGTCTGTCTATCTGTCTATCTATCTATCTATCCATCCATCCATCCATGTATGTATGATTGTATGTATGTATGTATGTACAGTATGTATGTATGTATGTCTGTCTGTCTGTCTATCTGTCTATTTATCTTTATCAGCTTTGTATCTAATAGTAAACCAGGATAGCTACTGACTAAGTTTAAGCAGATACTAATTAAACTTTACAGTTTTGCCAAATCTGTCATATAAATAGGACCTATGACCTATATTTCTGTTATTAAAAATGTTTCATTAGGGCTATCAACCAATTAACATTTTAAATCAGGTATTAATTAAATGACTAATCATTAGAGATGTCCGATAATATTTGCATCATTATTATTAGCATAATTACGTAATATCTGTAAGAATCATTATGGTTTCTTACTCTGATAATGAAAACCTAATAACACATTGCCAGGGTTTCACGAAATTATTTACGCTGTAAAAAATAGTGCTGTGTCCCAATGACAGACCAGTCAGATGCCTCAGTGCTAGTGCCCCAATGACAGACCAGTCAGATGCGTCAGTGCTCTGAAGAACTTTAATTGAAACACAATTGCAGTCATTTGTTTTAATCTCCTTTATTCCTCTCAACCCAGCTTCTCCAAAAACTCCTTTTCCTCCTCTCACACTCATACACGCACTCTCACCACCATTCTCATCACTCTGTTAACACATGTTTATAAACACATGAACAGAAAATTATCAAAGCTAAACAAGCCAAATCACTAGATGGCAGCATTGCAGCTATTTTTTTTTTTATCTATATCGATAAGGGATTGTATGCAGAATGCTTGAAACAGCAAATGATACAATGGTTTGTACAGATAAATAAATAAATATTACTATTCAATTTGGGGAAAGTGAAAAAACGTCTGTCCCCTGGAGGAGAGGCAGTGAACATGGCTTTAACCTATCACTATAGTGAGCAGACGGCACCTAACTTCTTTAACCTCCAGGGCATCTGCTTTATCAGTGTCAGTTAATATCGGAATCGCAAATTAACTGTTTGGACAATATTGGATATTGCATATCGGATACCGGCAAAAAGTTAATATTGGACATCCTTACAAATTATGATTAATGTAACATGAATTATTATTCCTGCACATGACAAAGACCTTTTTGTCAGTATATTGCTGGAACAATAAGGTAAACAACAGCAGGTAGAGGTGTGTTTCACAACTGTTTTTATTTGTGACTAATCCAAACCATAGAATTATTAATATGAAATAGTGTTACAAAAATATTGCCAGTGCAAGTATAACTTAAATCCATCCAAAAATGTGTAATAACTGTACATTTTGTTTTCATAGAGTGTGCAGGTCCTACTGTGCATCTTAACGGTGGTCTATAGAATGTATTGAGAATTAGAGAATTAGACTGGTCCAATGCGTCTGACTCAAAATTAATCTCTTGAAGTGTGAGCAAAAACAATGTGCTCACACTGTGCTCAATGTGGGTATCGACTGTATATTATTATTATTATTATTATTATTGTTGTTGTTGTTGTTGTTGTT